GGTGCGCCCTTGATAGCTTTTAGCAAGGTGTTTTATGTCTGTTAGAAAAGTATTGATCAGATAAGAGAAGCACCTCAAGGCTGAGCGAGTTTCACCAGGACCCCCCCTCCCACAATATGCATTTTCAAGATAGGATGGCAGGAGACATGTCATCCTCCCCCCACCCTCCGCCCCCGCCATAAAACAGTTGACAGGAATACTGGCTTGTTGAGCCATTATCAGCCCAAGATTTGAGAAGAGTTAAAAGAGCTAGTCTTAGGCAGATAAAGAAAGGCAGATTTCAAAACAAATACATAGTTTCATTAACATAGCTTAAGAAAAACATCTCTGTAAGAAAAATGCATTGATTAGGTCAAGGCAGAACCAGGTGTTATCAACACATAATTAAAAGAAACCTCTTTTAATTTTGTGTAGAGAAGGAAAAAAATGTCTGCCACTTGCAGTTTATTTCCTCCTGCCGCCTGGGGACCTCTGGCCTTCCTACCTGTTACTCTCATGTACCAGAGGTGGTTGGGTGGACAGATGAGGAGCTAGTAGAGGGGAGGCCACCAGAGAGGTCTTGATGTCCTTGATCCCTCTGAAGAACTCCTTCACAAAACTCCTTCCCCAAAGACCACTTCAGTGGGCAACAGAGAGCATTTGTTGACTGACAGACTGATGGACTGACTGAATGCGATTTTTCCACAGTGAACACCTATTCTTCAAAATCCACTTCAAATTCCCTTTGAGAAACATCAGAGATCATTTATTGAATGGACATAATTTTTTTTTCTTGCAATCTTATACACATTCATCAAAACCCTCCTCAAATGTCTCCATGAGGGACATCAGGGAGTGAATAATAGGTATGTAAATGGGCATCCCTGGTGGTTCAGATGGTAAAGAGTCTGCCTGCAATGCAGGAGGCCCAGATTTGATCCCTGGGTCAGGAAGATCCCCTGGAGAAGGGAATGGTAACCCACTCCAGTGTTCTTGCCTGGAGAATCCCATGGACAGAGGAGCCTGGGGGGCTACAGCCCATGGGGTTGCAAAGAGTCAGACACGACGGAGCGACCAACACACACACTTTGTATGGTTTTTTTTTTTTTTTTTTTTTGATTGAATAAGGGACTTCCCTGGTGGTTCCAGGCTAAGACTCCATGCTCCCAATGCAGGGTGGCCAGATTTGATCCTTGGTCAGGGAGCTAGATCTCACGTGCAGCTTAGAGTTCACATGCTACAACTGAAAAAAGACCCCACATGCCGCCACTTCACCAGGTGGCACTAGTGGTGAAGAACCTGCCTGCCAATGAAGGAGACTCAAGGGATGCGGGTTCCATCCCTGGGTTGGGAAGATTCCCTGGAGGAGGAAATGGCAACCCACTCCAGGATTCTTGCCTGGAGAATCCCATGGACAGAGGAGCCTGGTGGGCTACAGTCCATAGAGTCCTAAAGAGCCAGACACGACTGACGCGACTTAGCAGGCACACACATGCCACTGCTAAGACCGATCACGTGCTGCGCTTAGTCACTCAGTCTGACTCTGCAATCCCAGGGACTGCAGCCCCGCCAGGCTCCTCTGTCCATGGGATTCTCCAGGCAAGAATCCTGGAGTGGGTTGCCATTTCCTCCCCCAGGGGATCTTCCCGACCCAGGGATCGAACCCGCATCCCTTGCATCTCCTGCATCGGCAGGCAGGTTCTTTACCACTAGTGCCACCTGTGTCTGCTAAATAGCTCTTTGTGACACCATAGACTGTAGTCTGCCAGGGGGAAGCCCACTAAGACCCAGGGCAGCCAGATAAATTAAACAAATGTTGTTTAAAAATTGAATAAATGTTGACCTACAGTATTATATCAGTATATAATATATATATATAATATAATGTATATTAGTTCAATATTTCTATACCTTACAAAATGGTCACCACTTTGTATCCTTTAAAACATCTTCAAATGATCCTCTGGAAGCATCAGAAAGTCCTGGCTGAGTGAATGAAAAATGCTCTTATTGGTGAAAAAATGTTCTTATTAATAAATGTGTTTGTTAAATGAGCTAATGGATCATTTCCTTGCCAACTCCTATTCATCCCTCAAGATCCTCCTTAGATACCCCTCAAGGGCATCAGATCTCTTGACCGCATGGAGGGAAGCTCAGCTCTTCTCAGGCTAAAGGTCACTACCCACCCTCTCCACAGAAGACGGAAGCTGAGGGGGTGGGGAAGTTCTGTGGTTCCTCCTGTTACCATTTCCTGGGCAGGGGGGGCCTATGACCTTATCCTTCCTGCCCCTCCTCAGTTTGTGGGGCATCTGAAAGTGGGACGGCCCTGGGGACCTATCTCAGTTTTGCTTCTGGGGCAGCCGGGAGGGCTTCCTGAAGTAGGTGGCAGGCAGGCCAAGAGAGGTGGGCGTACAAAGATTTGACATGGGGAAGGTGGGCTGCGGTGAAGCTCAGGGTGAGCCTCCAGCTGTGACCTCAATAAGGGTAGAATCAACACCTCACACGTGGCTAGGATCCTGCTCATACTGCTTCCATAGTTCCCTGGGAAAAACCCAGCCCTTCAGCCCAGCAGTCGAGGCTCTGGTCCACTCTACCATCTTCATCTCTCACATGGAGTCCCAGACCTGCCAGTTCATCTTACTGTTCCCCAAAGCGTGTCCCCCCGACTTTTGCCTCTCCTTTGACCTCTGTTGGGAATGGCCTTTAACTCTACAAAGCCAGTTTAAGACTTCCCTTCCCTGGGCAGCCCTCTCTGGTCCCGCTCAGAGCCCCTCAGCCTCTACGCCTCCCTGCAGCCAGCCGCTAACCCCCAAGGAGCTGGGAGCATCTGTGTCCAGCTCTGCCTCACCCACTTGATGTTTTTTCAGTGGCTGCTCTAACTTTGGGGGGACGGGAAAGAGGTGTGATAAGAGCAGAGGTCACTGAGAGCCCCCGAAGAATGACAAATCGTACTGGCTATCTGGTGGGCAGCAACCCTTGTTTATCCTTGGGCTCAGTCACGCAGTCCTGTCTGACTCCTTGTGACTGCAGCCCGCCAGGCTCCTCTGTCCGTGGGATTTTCCAGGCAAGAATATTGAAGTGGGTAGCCACCTCCTTCTCCAGGGCATCTTCCTGACCCAGGGAAGGAACCCGCATCTCTTGTGTCTCCTGTATTGCTGGTGGATTCTTTACCGCTGATCCCCTGGGGAAGCCCTGTTTATCCTCACTCTAGCCCATTTGCAGATGAGGAAGCTGAAGCTTGGGAGGCCTGACTTTCCTGGGGCTAGGAGGTAGCCTTAGGGCATGAGCCTTGCTCATGGAAGCTCAGCCCCACTGTGTGGGGGGCTCTGCCTCAGGGTTTGCATCTATGTCTTTACCTCTGGCCAGGGCCCTGAGTAGGCTGACTGTCTCTAGACTCAGTTTTTCCATCTGTGAAATGGGGCACCTGGGGTAAGAGTCTCAGGATCATTGAGAGGGGGCCCATTGATTTACCCCATCTCCAATGGTCTCTTCCATCTGTGTCTCTATCTTTGTGTCTCTCATTTCTCTCTCTGTCTCCGCCCCTCCCCAGACCTCAGAGCTACTCCGCCCGTGGCCTGGCCTGGGCCCTTCTGCCAGTGAAGGCTGTTCTGTGTAGGATCACAGGGTCCCCGTCCCCACTGTGCCAGGCCTGGAACACTGCCTCTTTGTTCCAGTGGCTCTGACTTCATGGCCTGCTGGGCGCCTGACCCTGGCCGGCCCAGCTGCCTCTCGGAACTGGCTCTCAGAAAAAGTGCTTCCTCCCACCCACCTCGGGCCTCAGTTTCCCCAGATGCTTCTCCCCAGGAGAGACCCTTATCCTGTTTTTTGTCTACCTGGGTTCTGAGAACAGCTTTTTTTTTAGGTGAAAATCACACAACATATAATGAACTGTGTTAATATATACAATTCAGTGGCACTTAGAATATTCACTGTATAGTACAATGATCACCTCTATTTAGTTCCAAAACATTTCCAGCATCCCTAAAGGCAAACCCATCCCCATGGACAGTCACTCCTCATCCCCTCCCCCAGCCCCTGGCAATCACTATTTTACCTTCTGTCTCTGTGGATTTACCTGTTCTGGACGTTTTCTATACACAGAATCGTACAACGTGTGGGCTGCCAGGTCTGACTTTTTCCACTCAGGATGTTGCTTTGGGGGTGCTATCCACTTTTTGTAGCATGGATCTGCTCTTTTGCGTGGACATTTTGGACCTTTGTTGACAGTGGAGAGAGAAGATCAGAAACTGAGACAACTCCATCCCCCCTCACCCCCGTCCCCAACCTCCCCATCTCTGGCCGAGAGACAGACACAGAGAAAAGACTAAGTTGAATCTAAAGGAAATTCTTCGGACACGGGACCTAAGATGCCCTGAGGTTTGAGTTTGGGAAACGATGAGGTGGACACTTTGGGGGTGTCCAGCCTACAGAAAGCACTTCATAACAATTTGTCAGGAGAGTGAACTCGGACGTCCAAAAGCCCCTGGCCTCTCATTTAGCTCCAGGATCTCAGAAGTGGGCCAGAGAGGGCTGGCTGCTGCTACTACCAAGTCGCTTCAGTCGTGTCCGACTCTGTGCGACCCCAGAGACGGCAGCCCACCAGGGTCCCCCGTCCCTGGGATTCTCCAGGCAAGAACACTGGAGTGGGGCGCCATTGCCTTCTGCAAGAGAGGGCTGGAGACCTAGCCAAGTACACAGAGCCCCAGGCAGCCCACGAGGCTCTCACCTGGAGCCAGCAGAGAAGACCCCAGACCCTCAGGGGGTCTAGCTCAGGGTCTAGGGCTCAGGGGGGTTTGTGGCCTAGATGAGGCCACCACCCCCAAGCTGACTTCCTGGGTTTCTCTTTCACTTTGACTTGCCCTTGGGAGGGGCCAGGTCTCATAACCTTTTTTTTTCTTTTAATCTCCTTAGTCTTTCTTTGTTAGTTTCAGCGTGCTCCTAGGTGAGGAAGGACCTGGTGGCTGGGGCCTCGCCGGCAGCACAGAAGTTCCTCTGCGACTGCTGAGGTCTTCCAGGACCGGATGTGGCAGTGGGTGTTCAGGCTGGCTGCCCTCCTTCTCCTCTTGCTCCGCAGACAGGGTGGTGAGTCCCCTACCCTGACAATTCACCTCTTCTCACTGGGGGTGGTGGGGCTGTGTGCATGTGGAGGGCTGTGGACTGGGGTCCAGGGTTGGTCCTGTGTCTGCCTCGGTCTTCCCCTCTGTCAAATGGGACGTCAGTGATTATGGCTTCTGATGTCAGACTTGAGCATTTCCTCCCCGGTCTTGATTTTGTCTTCTGTACTTTGCGCTTAGTCACTCCGTTGTGTCCAACCCTTTGTGACCGCAGGGACTGTGGCCCACCAGGCTCTTCTGCCACTGGGGATTCTCCAGGCAAGAATACTGGAGGGGGTTGCCATGCCCTCCTCCAGGGGATCTTCCTGACCCAGAAATCGAACCAGGGCCTCCTGAATTGCAGGCAGATTCTTTACCAGCTGATCCACCAGGGTGGAGTGGGCTAAATCTCTGAATCTTTCCCACTTCCCAGAGTTTAGTGAGGCGTAGGTAAGGAAGGGATAAAGAGCAAGTGTGTGTATGATAGATATGTATCTAGTGTGTGTAACATACATACTCTCTCTTCATCTTGTGGAATCCAATGGGAAAGGACTCGGCCCTTTCTAAGAGCCGAGCTTGGACTCTCATCCCAACTCTGCTGTTGCATAAACTTGGATAACTTTCTCGTGCCTCAGTTTCCCTCTCTGTAAACTGGAGACCAGCAAGGTTTCGGGACTTTTGGAGGTCAGGCAGGCCTAGAGACCAGCAAAAGGGAGGAGGCAGAGGACCCTAAGTTGCTTTAGAGGAGCAGTCTGAGAAGCAGATGGGTGAAGGGATGGATGACTGGATGGGCAGATGAGTGGATGGGTGAGTAAATGGATAGATGAGTGGATGGATGATGGATGTGTGGGTAGATGGAAAGAAGGATAGATGGCTGGATGGATAGCTCAGTGGATGGGAGGATGGATGGATGGATAGAAAGGTGGATGGATGGATGGGGGGTGCATAGATGGGAAAGCGGACAGGTGTGTGGATGATCCCTGGGTGAGCGCCTCTCCCTTTCAGTGAGAGGCTGAGACTGTCATTATCTCTTCATTGCCTTTGCAGCTGAAGCCTGCAGTACCATCGGATGCTGTTTTCAGAACCCACCATACCCAGATGCAGACTCAGGTCTGGGCAGTTCCCCAGCGTGGGTGGGAGGGCTGGTGCTGGGCTCTGACTGAACCATCCCTAGCAGCCCCTCCCTTAACTCCTTCCTGCTCAGCCAAAGACTGGGGTCTTGGGAGCCCCGACCTGACATCCTGACAGCCTGTCCTCATCAAACTCAGCGCAGTCATCCACCTCTGTAAGCTTTGTCTGCTCCTTAACAGAGTCACAGGACTGTATGTGTCTGTCCTGACTGGTCAGCATGTGGGGTCACGCAGCTGTTAAACATTTTGCCTCCCCTGAAGCAAGCATTGCTGGAACACTGATGCTTATAACAAATTCACTAATCTGCCCCGGGCAGGTGTTTCACCTGTTCTTTTGTTCAAGAGATATTTACTGAACAGTTACTATGTGCAGACATGGTCCTGGATGTGAAGGAGTCAGCTGCGAACCCCGCTGTCCTCCTGGGGTCCCAGCCTAGTGCCGCGGTGGACAACGGTCACACTAATGCATATCCTGTGTATAATGATGTGCTATGAAATAACCAGAGCAGAATGGGAGGTGGAGAGGGAAGGGGCTGCTTCAAATAACCTAGTGTTTGAGGTGTTGACTCTGAAGGAGAAATTGGAATGTGACGATCAGGGGCAAGGGCGTTTCAGGCAGAGGGCACAGCGCTTGCAAAGGCCCCGAGGTAGGAGTGAGTCTGATATGTTTAAACACCAGGGAGGAGGCTGAAGTGGCTGGAGCAGGACGTGCAGGGGAGATGGCAGGAGACAGGTGGGAAAGGCAGTGGAAGGCGCTGGAAGCCACAGTGCATTTAAGCTGAGGTCATGCTGGGTTGCATAAGTGTCACAAAGATGCCTCCCTGAGTTATGTCAGTGTGGGGACACCCCCTCCCTGACACTGTAGCCTGTTCTCAAACCTCCAGGCTCAGCTTCAGGCCCCCGGGACCTGAGCTGTTACCGGGTATTCAGCAGCGCTGGTTATGAATGTTCCTGGGAGTACGAGGGCCCTGCAGCTGGAGTCAGCCACTTCCTCAGATGCTGGTGAGGATGCTACCCTCTGCTCCGCGATCCCCGCCTCTGCTCTCAGGGTCTGTGCCCCTTCCTGGGCCTCGGCTGGGGTGTTGTGGGTGCTCAGCACGGGTGGGTACCCAGTTTGGGCAGCAGTTAAGACCCCTCTGTCCTTCATCCTCGCCCTCTCACTTACTCATACTACTATTCACTCATCCACCCATTCATTTCTTCCTTCCCTCGTGACAGGCCTTGTTAGGAGATTCTGGGGTCCTCCAAAACCCTTAGTCCCAGGCTGATCCCCGAGAAGCCCCCAGGCTGGGGAGGAGGGCTGAAGGGGCAGGAAAGGACAATGGGATGTGACGTACGGCATCCACTGCGGCCGCTGAGACTCAGCACCATACCTTCCTTCCCGCAGCCTCAAGTCAGGCCGCTGCTGCTACTTCGCCACAGGCTCGGCCACCAAGCTGCAGTTCTCCGACCAGGATGGCATATCCGTGCTCCACAATGTCACTCTCTGGGTGGAATCCCGGGCCGCCAATCGGACAGAGAAGTCCCCCAACGTTACCCTGAACCTATACAGATCAGGTCAGCACCCTGTCCCCTCCCCACCACCCTCTCCTCACCCAGAGAAGCTTCTGGTCCCCAGGCCAAGACCTGGGTTGGGGGGGGGGCGGTGATTCTGGGCCCCTGGCAAGGGGTTGGATAGTGCCAGCTGTTTTCCCATCCAACACTGCCCTGTGACTTGGCAGAGTCTTTCATGGTCCCCTTACTGATCCCCTACCATTTAGGTAGCTTCTGATTTCTCCTTGATACCATAATGCTCCCAAGATCCTGCTGGGTCTTTAAAATCTGTTTTTGTTAATCAACAACACACCCTTGGTTTAGATGTATTGAGCTGCCGCTGTGTGCCTTGCTCACTCCTAAAGGACATGGACAAGGCCAAAGGAGGTCAGAGCCCAGGGCTGGGACGAGGGAGGGGTGAATGAGGCACCCTCTTTGGCCACAAAATTTAAGGTGGGGGCAGTGGCAAAAAAACCTCTTAGTCAAGATAAATAGTATCATGATGCAATGTTTAAAAAAATCAATATTGATGCAAAAAAAAAAAAAGAAGCCATGATGAACAAAATATCAAGATTTTAAATAGAGAGAGGATCTGACTGTGTATTTGTACAACCCTGCCTCACTCTCCTCACCCTAATCCCGGCCCTATCCCTGCTTCATGGAGCCCAGATTCAAGTAGGGTGATGGAGAAGGCATGACCATTACACATGATGAGATACTGCTGGCAGATCAGGAAGGCCCTTGGCTCAAGCTGAGCCTTTGAAGGATGAAAAAGGTCCAGCAGGAATAAAGGTAGGGAAGTGTGGTCCAGGCAGCAGGTCCCAAGGCCCTCAGGTAGAATCAAACACCGTATGACCAAAAGACAGGAAGGGTGGCAGATGTCTCTCCTTAGGTCAGGCTCCCTGAAATGAGTTTAAAAACTTAGCAAGAGTTCCCCAATAGTCCTCCGGAAACATAGAACCAGTTAATTACCCTCTCATCAGCAATTTACAGAAGTATGTCTCACCATAGCTTTGCCAGCAATGAGTATTAATATTTTAAAGATATTTTTTACTAACAGGATCCTGTGTATAAATCTTGACTCTGACTCATAGAATCCCAGGCGTAGATGGGACTTGCTAGGGTGGGCCTTGGGGGCTTCTCTGGACCAGGAGGATCATGTGCAGGGTTTCTGGGATTTTCAGGACCAACAACTCACACACGTTCCTGCTTTCCTTCCCCAAACCCCACCTCTGCTTCCAGTTAAATATGACCCTCCCCCAGGAAACATCAAGGTGTCCAAGTCGTCAGGGAAGCTGCGTATGGAGTGGGAGACCCCAGCCCGGCAGGATGGTGCCGAGGTGCAGTTCCGGCACCGCGTACCTGGCAGCCCGTGGAAGCTGGTGAGTTTATTCCGAGATCAGCGGTTTGCACAGGGCACAGGGCACCTTCACATTTCCCCCATCAGCTTTGCAGTCTCAGCCTCTATCACCCCTTCCACCTGGCCTCCACTCTTGCTCCATATTTAGCCTCTGGGGTCTGTCTCTGATTTGAAGATCTGATTATGACTGCCCTTGCTCACACAAACCAGGGATTGAACCTGCATCCCCTGAGTTAAAAGGCGGGTTCCTAAGCACTGGATCACCATGGAAGTCCTTCATTTGCTTTTCCGAGGATGTCCTCTTGCTGTTCCCAGATCCAATCCAGGGTTCTACGTGGCATTTAGCAAAATAATTGTTGAAGATTTCAAAAGAGTTAAGTAATATTTTCAACACCAAATGTAAAATCATGTATAAATATGATCTCATTTTAGGGTGACTGTGGACGTCAGGATGATGCTGGCTTTGGTGAGAATAATAATGAACAATGACAGCAGCAGCAAGTTAGCACTAATTAGGCACCCACTGTGTGCTGTGCTAAGTCACTTCAGTTGTGTCTGACTCTTTGCGACCCTATGGACTGTAGCCCACCAGGCTCCTCTGTCCATGGGATTCTCCAGGCAAGAATACTGGGTGGATTGCCAAGCCCTCCTCCATGGGATCTTCCCAATGCAGGGATCAAAACTGCGTCTCCTGCAATTCCTACATTGCAGGCAGATTCTTTACTGAAGAGCCACTGGAGCAGCCCCGACTGTGTCTTAGGCCCAGTGCTGAATTCTTTGCAGACTTGTGTGTGCCTCTTTGTAGTTCAATATTGGATGATTCCCATTTCACAGGGGAGGAGACACAGGCTTGGGCTTGAGAAGCCACTGGCCAAGGTCACATCCCAAGGAATGGTATTGCTAAGACTCGAACCCCAGACAGTGTAAGAAGTGGGTGATCCTTGAGGCCCCAGAACGCAGGACCTGTCCTATTCTGACTGTCCTTGTCCCCAGGGTCTGGCACACAGTTAATTCTCAGTAATTGCATGGACACAGTTGATGCTCAATAAGTGCAGATACAGTTGGCCCTTAATATGTACATGGTGGCTAAGGGACCATCCCAAGCTCCGGGTACTCCTAGCTGTGGGACAGCCCCTTGGCCTAAAGTTTGTTCTGCTTCTCCTCAGAATCATGCCTCTGCCCCTTGGAGATAGACATGGCCCAGGAATTCCAGCTGCGGCGGCGTATGGGGCCAGGGGTCCCCGGAGGTCCCTGGAGCAGTTGGAGCAGCCCTGTGTGCATCCCCCCTGGTGAGAAAACCCTGGGGGAAGGGAGACAAGCATCCGAAAGATGGTAGTGGGATTAGGAATAAGGTGATGGGTGTTAGAAATAAGGTGGCGGGAGAAATTAGGGGAAACTGGTGCCAGGTGACAGGGCAGTGAGTGAGTTCCACTTTATAGAATGCAGTCAACCCACAATCTAAAAAGAAAACATTTCTCAGTCCTTCTCTCCTTCCAATTAGTTCGGTGGGTTTTGTCCTCTGAAAGCTGAAAAAGGAGTTGATGAGTGCAAGTGGCTGTGTTGTGAAGATGGATTTTCCCAAACAACACAGGGTGCTGGAGCCTGGCAATTCCAGAGGGGAGATGTAACCCAAGGTGGGGGGTAGAAGGGGGAGATGGGGTAACTGTCAATATTTGGCCCCAGCCTTTGAACTGGAGCTTCCTCCTGCCCGCCCAAGAGTGTATCTGCTGGGAAACGACTCCAGTAGTTGCTTCCAGTTTTTTTTAAAAAAATCTGTAGTATTAAAAAAAAAGGACATTATATAAAATTGACCATTTGAACTATTTTTAGCTAATTGCATCAAGTATATCCACCCTCATGAGGTGGATCTCCGTGTTTGCAGATTCTGAAAACTATGTAACCCACGGAATCCTGTGTTTCATGGGAGGGAGGGAAAGGGTCCCATGTCTCCATCCAGGGTCTGCAGGAGGTTGTGAGCAAGGGAACCACCCCCAGTGTCACCGTCTTGCTGTCTCGTTGCAGAAACCCCTCCACAGGCTGTGATGAACTTCTCAATAGAGAATCTTCGCCCAGATGGGAGGAGGCAGGTGACCTTGCATGAGCAGGTAACAGGGTTGTCATTGGGCTGTGGGTTAGCCTGGGAAGAGAGAGAAGGAAACAAGAGGCTACAGTGGAAGTGTGTAAAACTCAGGGAGATGAACTGTGAAGGTGACTGAGACCGGAAAGGCTGTAGGTTGAAATCCGAAGGTAATGGGGAGCCGTGGGCGGTGTGTGAGCTGAGGAATATGGCTGGACTCAGATGCTCACAGGCTCCCTCTGGTGGCCATCAGGAGAATAAATTGTGGGGGGGCTCGGGTGGGCTCTGGGAGGCCAGGAAGTAGCTGACTGTGTTGGTCTGGATGGGAGATAATCTCTTTGAAGTCCCCCAAACAACTCATTAAGTATAGTCAAATGCACCTATTTTACAGAGGAGGAAACTAAGGCACAGAGGAAAAGTTTCCTGCCTGAGTCAGGGACAAAAACGTATGTTTCAGCCCCTGATTTCACCATAATTGATTCAGCCAGATCCCCAGTGACCTGTCACAGTAAAGTTATAGGGAAGCTCCTTCTCTTCCCAGGTTTCCTATAATCTGAATTCTTTTTCTTAGAAAAAATTTCCAGTCTTGAGGTAACTGGGTTCAAAGATGGAAACTTTTTTTCCCCTGGCTTTCAGTGGGTTTTTCCAAATTATTCTTCCCCCAAACCGATGATCAGTGAATGTGTCAGTTTCGCAACAGTGCTGCCAGCCCTGAGGTTTACTAGTTTGTAAATTTTTGCTCAAGTCATCATGTGGGCCTGTGGACGAGACTGTGCTCACGGGCTGATTCCTGATGTCAACCCATGGGGACAAGGAGCATGTTCAGGTCCCCAAAAAACCATCTCTCACGCTCACAGCTGCCCCAACTGGAGCTTCCGGAAGGCTGCCTTGGGCCTGACTCTGGCCTGGAGGTGACCTACCACGTCCACCTGCACATGCTGTCCTGCCCATGTAAGACCAAGGCCAAGAGGACTCTGCGCCTGAAGAAAAAGCTTGTCCTCTCGGGTGCTGCCTATGATCTGGCCGTCGTTTCCCGGAATCGCTTTGGCCTTGGCCCCAACCAGACATGGCACATTCCTGCCTGCACCCACTCAGGTGCCTTTGGCTGGGTGGTGGGAGGGCCCCTTGGAGCTGAGCACATACCCTGAACCTCAGCTAGACTAGGTGAGGCAAGCGAAGCACAAAAATTTAAGGGGGTGTCTAATTTAGGAGTGTATCAAAAGTTAGTAATCAAAAATGCATAGTGCTTTTAAAAAGGCATAGTGTTATAATGTAATAGTTCAAAAAATAACCTCACGGGCAAACTACAGCTCAGGTCAAACATTTGTTTTTGTAAATAAAGTTTTATTGGGACCAGGGGCAGGATCAGGGTGTCAAGTGAGGCCGGGTTGTACAAGAACAGGGTTGATCCTGTCTTCACTTAAAATCTAGGCAATTTGCTCACTTTATATACAGGCATATGTATATTAAGGGCTTTCCAGGTGGCACTAGTGGTAAAGAACCTGCTTGCCAACGCAGTTTCCATCCCTGGGTCGGGAAGATCCCCCGGAGGACCGCATGGCAACCCACTCCAGTATCCTTGCTCAGATAATCCCATGGACAGAGGAGCCTGGCAGGCTATGGTCCATAGGGTCACAGAGCTGGACACAACCGAAGCGACTTAGCATGCATGCATGCACATACATATATTAAATATATACATATATTTACATATAATGAAAACACCAATGGTGATGATATGGATGAAAAGGAATCCTTGCACAGTATCGGCAGGAATGTAAGTTGGTGCAGCCGCTGGGGAAAACAGAAGGCAGATGCCTCAAAAGATTGAGACTAGGACTACCGTGAAAAGTGAAAGTGTTAGTTGCTCAGTCGTGTCCGACTCTTTGCGACCCCATGGATCTGCCAGACTCCTCTCTCCGTGGAATTCTCCAGACAAAAATACTGGAGTGGGTAGTTATTCCCTTCTCCAGGGGATCTTCCCAACCCAGGGATCAAACCCAGGCCTCCTACATTGCAGGCAGATTCTTTACCATCTTTGCGCTATATGATTCAGCAGTTCTGCTTCTGTGTATTTAATCAGAGCAAAGAAAAACGTAATTGGAAACAATATACGCACCCCTATGTTCATGGCAGCGTTATTCACAATAGCCAAGATACGGGAACATCCTAAATGATCGTCAATGGAGCAAAAAGATGTGGTGCGTGTATACAATGGAAAACTGCTCAGCCATAAAAAAGAATGAAATGCTGGCATTTGTGACAACAAGCATGGACCTTGAGGATATTATCCTTAGTGAAATAAGTCAGATGGAGAAAGACAGATACGCTATCATTTCTCTCAGCTGTGGAATATAAAAACCAACCAACAAACCAAACAAACTAACTGATTAACTAAATAAATAAGTGGACAAACCAAAGCAAACACATAGGCAGAGAGAAAAGAGTAGTGGTTACCGGAGGGGAAGAGGCGGAGGAGGAGAGGGGTAAAGAGGATCAACTCTATGGTGACAGATGGAAACTAAATTTTCTACGGTGAGCACACAGTAAGCTACTCAGAAGTTGAAATATAATGTTGTAGTCATGAAACATATACTATTATAAGCCAACATTGCCCCAATAAAAAGTAAATCTAAAATTTAAAAAATCGAGATCTATTTGTATGCATATACACAAATATTTTATTGAGGGAAGGTTCACATATCAAAATGAACCATTTTAACAAGCACAATTTGGTTGCACTAATTACATTCACAGTGTTATACAACCATCACCTCATCTAGTTCCAGGACATTTCATCACCCCCAAAAGGAGACCCTGTCCCCACTAGCAGTGACTTCCCATCCCCTCCCTCAGCCTCTGATGATCATTAATCTCCTTTCTGTCTCTGGATTTTCCTGGACTTTTTCATAGAAACTGATCATATGCTTTGTGATCTTTTTTTTTTTTTTTTTTTTTTTGCTTTGTGATCTTTTGTGTCTGGTTTCTTTCACTCAGCCTGATGTCTCCAGGATTCAACCACATTGTATCACATGTCATGCTTCATCCTTTTTTATGGCTGAGTAATATTTCACTGTGTGGATGGGCCACATTTCATTTATCTGTTTTTCCTCTGATGAACATTTAAGCTGTTTCCATTGTTTGGCAATCCTGAATAGTACTCAGTACATATTTTTTCATTCATTTCCATTTAAAAAAAAATTGCATTAAAAGAGCATTGATACTGATGACTGAATTCTTTGACACCTCCTTAAATTTCATGCCTGAGATAAGTGCCCTGCTTGCTTCACCCTAGTCCTGATCCTACTGAGCACCCAGCAGGGCAGTTACGATGATGCCCATTTCAGAGATGGGACGACTGAGGCTCAGACAAATGCAGCCACTTGCCAGACTGGCACATCAGGGAGTCTGTCAGTTCCTAGTCTGGTCTGGGCCATGGCCTTGCTATGTGACCTTGAGTTGGTGGCTCTCTGTGTTTGAGCCTCAGTTTTTATATCATTGATATAATTTGATATGATGTGGCATGATATTGATATGATTTATATCATTGATCATGGTGACTGTAAAACAGCCCTGGCCTGGTGCATACAGTCAGAACTCAGTAAATGATAGCTGTTCTCTCTAGAACTGGAAGCAGTACCCACCTCTCAGGTTGGTGCAGATACCCTTGTTGTAGGGAGTGGCAGAGATGAGCCCAAGAGGGCTGAGTGGGTGTGTCCTCGAAGCGCTGGTCCAACGAGGACGCCCCTCCCCCACCACAGCCACCCACGGCTGCAGGGCGAGGCGGGTGGTGGGCGGCCAGGCATCTGGGGGAGCGTCGCTTACCAGCCTGGCAGGGTAGAAGTGAGCATAGGGAGCTCTGATGGTGGGCATCTTGGCAGAGAACCCGTGGTCAGACTGGGGGAGGACTCGATTCATTCAAACGGCCACTGCCGTCCCCTTGGTGCTCAGACCCCAACTCGGCAGCCCCCAGCGTGGGGAGACAGTCAGATACAAACACTGCCGGCCCCTGGGGGTTAGAGTTTGTCAAGAGAGTGGGATGGGGCTCTCAGAGCCTTGGGTGGGTGGGTGGGGGCAGGGCATAAGATCGCTAGTCTGATGTGCCTCCCTTGTTTTCTTCCAGAACCAGGGCTTCTGAATATCACGGCCGGAGCCGACGGGACCACCATACGTTGGCCAGCCCGGGCCCAGGGGATGAGGTACTGCATTGAGTGGCAGCTCCAGGGCCAGGAGGAGAACCTTGCCACCTGCATCGTGACAGCACCCCAGGACCCGGACGCTGCTGGAATGGGTACCATAGTTTTGGTTACCCTGCATCCTCCATTAGAGCTCCCAGTCAACTCAAACCTATAGGCATCCTCCACGTGGGGTATCTGAGGCCCAGAGAGGTCTTGCTACTTGCTCAAGGTCACACAGAAGTGGGGACAGGCCAAGACCTGTCAGACCCTCCTACCCGCGCGGAAGTCTGGAGTTTCCTGCTGCAATCCTGGTTTGCCAGGGCTCAGCCCTGGGCAGGTTGCACCCTGGCAGGAAATGAGTCTCACGTCCCAGGGTGTTTGTTAAACACTCACTGGTGCCAGGAAAGGTGGCAACTAGCAAGATGCTAGTGGCAAATTAATGAGGCCTCCGGAGGGAAAGGGGGGGGGGTGCTGAATGGCCCAGGCAGCCTCTTGCTCTCTGCCCTGGTCTTGGCCGGGTCCCCCAGAATCCTCAGTCTTAGCCTGGCCCTCCAAGAGCTTCCAGCCAGGGGAGACAGGCTGGACACAGACACCCCTGGCACCATAGAGTAAGAGCTGTGCTGGAGAAGGTGGGGATCCTTTGGGAGAGGGCAAAAGGAAGGAATCCTGGAGGAGTCCTGGAGGAGGGGACATTGGTGCAAGGGATTTGAGGCATGAGTAGGAGTGCTCTAAAAGTTCCTGGCAGATTGCACAGGTGCAAAGGTGGGGACACAATCTATTTACTGGCCTGGCCCTTGCTAATCCTTCCAGCAACTCACAGCTGGAGCCAAGAATCTGGGGCATTGGAACAGAAGGCATGTTACCGCATCACCATCTTTGCCTCTGCACACCCAGAGAAGCCAACCTCATGGTCTACAGTCTTGTCCACCTACCATTTTGGAGGCAATGGTGAGTGGCCCAAACCTGCAGGGTGCTCTCCTCTGGGGATTCAGCAGTGGTCCTTGGGTATAAGGAATGGGGAATACCATTTAGAGGTACCTACTGCCTGTCAGGTGCTGGCCAAAAGCCAGACACTTAGAAGTCAGCTCAGTCAGGACATCCCTGGTGGTTCAGTGGTTAAGATTCTGCTTCTACTGCAGGGGGTGTGGGTTCAATCCCTGGTCAGGGAACTAAGATCCCACATGCCTCATGGAGAGGCCAAAAAAAAAGTCAACTCAATCGACTTCTAAGACACCCCAAGAGGCACTGCCCCATTTTATAGGTAAGAAAACTGAGGCTCAGAGAGAAGTGATGGTACCAGAGTAGTGCAGCCAGGATTTGAACCCAGGCCCACTTGACTTGGTGGTCACGGTTCCCTGGGCCTCTGGACAGTACCAGCTGGGCAGGCAGAACATGCTGAGCCAGCACCCTTGGAAATGACCATGGCAGTGGTGTGATTGCAGCCTCAGAGGCCGGAAGCCCACAGCACATGTCGGTGAAGAAACTCAGCCAGGATTCGGTGTCTGTGGACTGGACACCATCTCTGCTGAGCACCTGCCCTGGCGTCCTGAAGGAGTATGTTGTGTACTGCCAGGAAGAGGAGAGCAACCAAGTATCTGGTAGGTGAGGCAGCACAGGCCTGGCTGGGGGAGGAAGGGGTCTGGGCTTGAGCCTGCCTTGCTGTGTGACCGTGGGCACCTCTCTGTCCTTCTCTGGGCCTTGGTTTCCCCACCTATGAAATGATTGAGTTGGACTCATCGTTTGATTGGCCCTGACGGCAACTCCCATGGAGCAGGAATGACTGTCCCCATTCCACAGATGGGGAAACTGAGGCCTGCAGAGGGATTCACCTGCCCAAAGGTTAGGCAAGCCTGGATTTGAACTCAGGTGCCCCTTCCTGCCCCATAAGAGGGAAAGAAATGAGGATGTGCAGGGCAGGTCTCACCATGGCTGGATCTTCCTGTCATTTCCTGCACTGGGAGCCTCATTCTTCCACTGGTTAACACAGTCTTGCAGATACAGCCTCAGCCATCCATCTCCTGCAGCCACAGGCCAGGCCAGCAAGACCATGGGTTTACTTCCTGCCTTCTCTGCTCAAGCTCAGCACAGGGCAAGGCATGATGCCCGGGGTAGGGGAGGGGGGATGGGGGGATGGGGGTCATGGGGACCCTCCAGATTCAGACATAGACATCCTGCCACCAGTTTGGTCATCCTATGATGCTTAGAGGGAGCGTGTGCATTCGTGCCTGCACTGTCAGTCGCTCGGTCATGTCCGACTCTTTGCGACCCCGTGGACCATAGCCCGCCAGGTTCCTCTGTCCATGGGATTCTCCAGGCAAGAACACTGGAGTGGGTTGTCATTTCCTCCTCCAGGGGATCTTCCTGACCCAGGGATGGAACCTGAATCTCTTGCATCTCCAACAGGTAGATTCTTTACCTACCTGGGAAGCCCCTTAGAGGGGATAAATGAAGCCTCATGGGAGCTGGTGACGTATTCCGGCACAGCCAGAAACAGCCCCGTTTGCTGAAAACCAATTTGCCAAAAGCCAAATTGCTGAAGATTCATGCACCAATAGCCCATTTGGCCAAATGTACCAACTTCCTTGAAATTTCTTTTGAAGAATATTCCTCTTGGTTATTTACAAAGAATATGGATTTACGGTTCTAGGAAATTTTTTTTCTGGACAACCACCACCAACTGTATTCTCATTTTAAAGATTTTTATAAGGTGCTTTATTTTTTAAGTCAGCCCATTCCACAAACACTTGTTGAGGTCCTACTGTGTGCTGAGGTGGTGGGGACCCTGGGGAGGGGGAGCAGCTCAGACAAAGGTAACCCTGACCCTGACCTGAAAGATGGGAAAGAGGTGACGGAGGAAACCATGCAGTCATCTGGGGAAAGGGTAAAGCAGGCCAGGGAATCAGCCAGTGCAAAGGCCCTGAGGTTGAGAATGGAACCTGATGCCTTTAGGGAGCTCTGAGGAGAAGGCACATGCGGCTGGCAGAGAGTGGGCTAGGAGTGAGGGAAGGGTAAACTGGTCAGAATTTGAGAAAAACAGCATCATGTGCTGAATATTTTGATGAAGAATGTTTTTTTCCAAATAAACTTGAGGTGAATGGGTGCATTTAGGGAAGAGTTTTCCACAAAATGACCGTGAGCCCCCACCCCCACCCTCACCTCCCATAGTGGAGCCCAGAATAAAGGGGGCCCGGGGGCTCACGGCTGCCTCCCGCCCACAGAGCTTCACGTGAAGCCCACAGAGACCCAGGTCACCCTCCAAGGCCTGCGGGCTGGCACGGCTTACCAGGTGCGGGTCCGCGCGGACACGGCCAAGTGGCGGGGCGCCTGGAGCCAGCCCCTGCGTTTCACCATCGGTGAGTGAGTGACAGATGCTCAGGAGTGTCCGACTCTCTGTGACCCCGTGGACTGTAGCCCGCCGGGCTCCTCTGTCCGTGGGCTTCTCCAGGCAAGAATACTGGAGGGGGTTGCCACTTCCTCGTCCAGGGGATCTTCCGACCCAGGGGTCAGACATGGGTGTCCTGCATTACAGGCAGATTCTTTACCATCTGAGTTACAAGGGAAGCCTGAGTGGAGCAGGGTAGGGGGTGGACCCTGTATTTACCCAGCATGCGTTGCCCCACATCCCACATCAACAAGCATTTCTGCCCCGACCCTCCAAATTTCCATTGCTCCCCATGAATCTCTCTCAGGAGCCAGTCACAGGCTGACCTGCCCCCACCTCCTTCACCGGTTTCCTCTGCTGTAGCCGTTTCTCACACTCCCACTTTCTTGCCCTTGCAGGCCTCTGCCTTGAATGTTTGATCTCCTTGCCAAACTCCTATTCACCCTTCATGACTCAGCTCAAAAGCTCACTCCTTCAGGAAGCCTTCCAGGCTTCCTTCTGGGGCATCCCCTTCCCCTCCAGCTGTGACTGCCCCGCCTACCTGGCCTGACACCTTGGGAGCAAGTGGGGGTGTCTTTCTGGGCTCTGCCTCCCCCTTAACCTTGGAGCTATTGGGGAGAGGGAGGGAGCAGGGGTGGGTATTTACTGAGGGAATGAATGCTCATTCATATGAACATCTCTCATCACAAGCATAAGGAAGTCGGTGGGCTCTGTCGTCTTGGGGCATGTGGAAGTGGGAGATTTGGGGACCGAATGACCCCTGTTCTTGCCATAGTCCCTACCTGTTGTCCTCACAGTGAAATCTGGTTGTAAGAGAAGCAGTGAGTCAGATTAGGTGTGTGGTGGGCAGGTCTGGGTCCAGGGGAGCAACCACACAAGCCCCCCCTGCAGGTGATCAGAGCTACCGTGTCCTGAGCACTTAATAATGTGTGCCAGGGCTTTATGCCATAGTCACAGGGTCCCACTTCCCAGAGGAGGAAACTGAGGCTCAGAGGGGATCATGTTGTGTCAGGGTCAGCAGTGAGTTGATGGAGGGCCCGCCCCTCCCAGTTCCCTCCTCAATGAGAGGCAGAAGGTGGGTCTCCCTCAGCCCAAGCTCTTCTGCTCCTAGAAGTCCAGGTTTCTGAGTTGTCCGACTTGTCCATCTTCCTCGCATCTTTGGGGAGTTTCGTGAGCATCCTTCTCCTGGGAATCTTTGGGTACCACGGCTTGAACAGGTAACTTGCACCCCTCCCCTGAGATGATCTGTAATAGTGATAGTATGAATAATAATAATTGTTAACCCCAAATAGGTTTTCATGCCCACTTTCAAGATGAGGAAACTGAGGCCCAGATAGTCGGGCCCAGGGCATCCAACAGTGCTGGAATTTCAACCTGGGTCTGTCAGTTTCCCTCTCCTCTGACCCCTTGGCTGCATCTTCACTCCCCATATTGTAACCTAATGGAGATGAAAATAATAAGTCAGAACAATTAAAACGTGAGAACAAACAGAAGCACTGACCAGTCCCCCTCTCTCCCCAGGGCTGTACGGCACCTGTGCCCACCCCTGCCCACACCTGGTGCCAGCACTGCTGTCAAGTTCTCTGGCAGCCAGGGGAAGCAGGTAAGGGCCCCTCTTTCTAATTCCAGGCCTTCTTTATTGGGTCCATATCTGGATTAGGGCTCTCAAGAGTAATGGCCATGCATTTACTCATTTTTTTCTTTCCAAACCATTGATGCAAGGACTCAAAAAAAAAAAACAAAAACCCTACCCTATTTTATAGACAAGCAAATAGAAACCCAGAGTGACCCTCATGTGGATCATTTCCTAGTAGCAGAAACAGAACTCAAGTGACTTCACAACATAACCTGATGGAAAAAAAATTCTAAGGTTGTGGGCTTCAGGCATGGCTGGATCCAGGAACTAGGACTCCATCTCTTTGGGGTGCTAGCTTCCCTGCAGGCTTCTTTTCCAGGAAGGTTCAGCCTTCCTCTTGTGGAAACAGGGTATCCCTTTTTCCCATTAACTGCAGCAAAATCCTGCACCATCACTGATTGGCCCAGCTTGGGTCACATGCCCATCCGTGAGCCGATCACTGGAACCAGGGGGCTGGAATGCTCTGATTGACTGGGCCAGGATCACATGCTGATGGCAAGAACCAGCCTGGGGCTACTGCCCTGCCCAACCACATCACTCATCAGAGGAAGAGAGAGTTTTCCAAAGAGAAATGGGGAGCCCTTCATATTGATCCTTGAATTGGCTTCAAGATTTTAAAGAATTTAGCCAGAAAGGACCTGGTCCACTCCATCCTTGTGCAGATGAGAAATAAGGCCCCTCCCACAGCCTTGACCCTACCCTCCCTCTCCAGGTTTGGCAGTGGACCAGCCCAGCAGACTTCCCAGAGGAGGTGTCTCCACAAGAGGCCCTGATGGTGAATATATCCTGGGAAAAAGGCGAGGGAGCTGACATGGGCACACTTGGGCCTCTCAAGGAGAAGATGGAGCTGCCTCTGCGTGCCTCTAAGCCAGCCCTGGACACTTTGCTCTTGAAGGACAGGAAACAGATGCAAGGATGTCCTGAGACTGGGGCTTTGGGACCTGGCTGGCAGGACAGTCTGGAGGACAGCTTTGCCCAGGTGGTTAGATTCCCACTGCTGCTCCTCGGGGACCTACGGCAGACCCCCAGGTTCGGTTCCCAGGGAGAAACAGGAACATCTGCCTCCTCTTACAGAGAAGATTGATGATTGCCACCATGACGGCTGGTTATTAAGTGTTTACTGCATACTCAGCCTGTTCTTTCCAGACACTCATGTGATGCCCTGAATCCCCGTGGCCACCCTGAGTGACATGGCTGTCCTATTGACCTATTTCAGTGAGCCTCAGTTAGGTTCAGAGAGGGCTAGTGGCTGGCCTGGGGCCACACAGCACACGCAAGACTCTAATCTAGGCCGAGTGACTCAGACTCCATCTTCACTCCCCAGGCTTTGGAGCCACTGTCCTCCGTAGACGCTGACTCTGCCCAGCAGCGGCTGCCACAATCCTGTGGTGGGAACCTTAAAAACCGCCTTGAAACGGAAGTTGCTGCCCAGGGCCAGGGCCTGGCATCCATGGATTAGGGTGCTGTAGTTGGCCTGTTGAGGGGGTGTGCAGGATAGACTGAAGCGGGGCCCAAAGAGGCTCAGGCTGATCCCAGATCCTAGGCTGGGCGTCCTGTCTGAATGCGGAATCTGGGTGCAGAATTCTCTGCTGCACTGCAGGGTCTCCAGGCTTGGACGATCCAGATGTGGGGAGAAGAAGGCTAAACACTCTGAGGGAGGTGATGGCCCCTCCTTTGCCGCAGATGCCTCGCCAGTAAAGTGGGGGTGAAAACATAAAATAAAAAAATGATAAAATGGGGAGGTCACCGCTACTGTCACTATATCTCATTACAAAACTGCTGAGCAGTTCCAGAGGTACTTGGAAAGGTTGGGGGTGCTGGACATACACGAAGAACCAGAGAAACCTCAGCGTGCTTTGGATTGCTTTTAAAGCATCACTCGGGCGCTGCTACCCCAGAAAATCCAGAAATAGAGCTGCTTTGCCTAGAACTGGAAAAAAATGAAAGAGAAATATGAAGTTATTGTAGGAGAAAATGAAAAACTGAAAACAAAGGAGAAAATTGAGTAAACTTAGGGTGGAGAGGAAGAAACTACCTTGCTATAAGCCACAACATCTTTAGGAAGATATAGATTATTGAATTAGAGAGAGTGCAATGCAGTCATGAATGCGAATTAAGTTTTAGTTTTCCAGTCATTTTAAAGGTTTAGATAAGAAGAGCTTTCACTAGGTTTGATTGTATTAAATACTAAAAATAATTGAGTGGTTTTGAAAAAGATAGGATTTTAAAAAAACAAAAAGGTAGGATTTTAAACTTACTGAATCAGTAATTAAGTTTAATAGTTAACTGCTTTTGTTACTATCCAGTTTTCTTATCCCATTTAGAATAAAATTTGCCTAAACTCCAAGAATTAAAAAATAAATAAAACAAGGGTGATGATCATGTAGACCTCACAAGCCGCTGGGGCGGGGGTGTCTAAGGCTTCATAAATAAATAACAGGAGGAGGCTTGGTTGCCCCCAACCCCATTCCTCTGTCCAGGGCTCAGGCGGAGACCTGGGATTCTTCGCTCATCCTAACACCGAACACCCGCAGCAGAACTTTTACTCCCCAGACACACCCTGAAAGCACGGCTTCCTCAACCTTCCCCGCCAGACCTTCCCTCATTCTTCAACGAGTTGGTGCTGGCTCCCTCCACGGCCACCAGGTGGCGGCAGCGGCCGTGTCTCCCACGCCCAGTCCGCCCAGCCCCCTCCCACCTCCCAGAGAGTTTGCAAAACACACTCTTCCGGTTTCAAACGGGGACAGGGTGGAGATTAAAACTCAGAACCATTGAATTTTGTGGCAAAAGAAGATGAGACCTCTGGCTGAAGAAAGTCTGGCGGCCGATAGGGTCGAGAATCAAGATGTCCTGGCCTTCCTCTTTAGGGTCTTCTGTTTCCCCATCTGGATGGGGAAACAGAAGACTTGGTTCAAGTACTCAACCTGCGCGCTCCTCTAGATAAACCCTCCCCTAAAGATCAGCCCTCCTCATTCCTGAGGGCTGGGCTGCAGCCTGAGGAGGAGGCCTGGATAGTGGCAGGACCAAGTGGACAGGACAGAGGGGATGCTGGGTCAGCAGCCTCATGAGAAAGACCAGAGTGACCCGACCTCCAGAGGCTCTGAGCCACCCACTTCAAGTCCAGAGTTCCCCTCTCCCTCACCCAACATACACATGTACACAGTGGAAGCTTCAGGGAGCTAAATGCCCCCGTGCTGGCTGTCCCAGTACGGGACCCAGTATTGGACCCATCAACAGCACAGCACCCACTTAGGTGGCTCTTGGAGATGGCAAACTCACCTCCTGGGTCCATGGAGTTAGGAGTTTGATATTTGTGGAGCACCACTGGAAATTCTTGCTGAAATGAATGGAGAAAATGAACACCTGCTTCTGTTGGGGGAAGGCCGAACATGCCTGGAAGAGAAGCTTGCAGAGAGGACAGCAACACAGAGAGACGGCGTCCTAGTTCCTGGGTCCAGCCACGCCTGAAGCCCCAAATTCTGGTTTTTCTTGTTGTTAAAGGCATTTTGAGCTCTGTTTCTGCTGCTAGAAAATGACCCATAAGAAGTTCCTCTCTGGGCCTCTACTTGCCCACCTGTATAATAGGAGAGGGTTCAGGGCACTGGCTTGAGGGCCCTACCTCCATGGGTTGGGCAATCCTACTTAGCAGAGCCGAGGCTCTCCCTCAGCTGCTCCCAGCAGCTGCTCCCAGCAGTTCCAGGAACCAAGACTGTGGTAGACCCTGTTTCACAGTTTCCTTCCTTCCTTGACTCAGGAAATCAGTATCAAGCACCTACTGTATACCGGTTCCTGTTCTACACAGGTCAGATTTGGTCCAGTCACGAGGGGCTTCTGGTTGGGTAGGGAGGACAGAAGCTAATCTAATCATCACAAAGAGAGTTACAATAAACCTGGGTGAGCGACAAGGGAAAGTGTGAGGAACAGAAGTGAGGGAGGGCTTCCTGGAAGAGGTGGTGCTGGGGCCAAATGGTGAAGACAGGCCAGACAGCAGGAGCAAAGGCCCTGTGGCAGATGTGGTCGGTGGGGAATAGGTGAGGGTGGGGATAGAGGTCACAGCCTCCAGCGGCCTGGGACCTAAGAGTTTTTATTTTTAAGTTTGTAGGGGATTAGAGGGGAGGTTCTGGAGCAGGAGAGGTGGAGGGTCTCAAGAGACAAAGAGACTCATCCCTCTATGAGTCAAGATGCACGTTTCCATCAGGGAGGCAGGCTGTCTCAGTTTACCTCCCCAGATAATCTGCTTCTTCTGTCGCTCCAGCAGCCTCTGGGTAGTTTGGTCATAAAGAGATGTCTCTGCCTCTTCCCTTGAGCCAGGATGGGGCTGGGATATCAGGGATCTCTGGAGTGCAGGAGGTGACACAGAACAGCCAGCCCTGGCCTGGCCTGTTATGTGACCCTGCCCTCAGCCTGCAGATGCCAGGCCCTTGGCCTGAAATGAAATGCCCTTCCCCTAACTGTGCATCTTTGTCCATTCATCTTTTTTTTTTTAAAGGCTGTATCCACATATACACTATTCACCCTTTCACTTAGGGCTTTCTCGAGTTGCAGTGCTCAGAGGCTGCTCTTCACCTTGGCACCCAGGTTCTCAACCCAATTGCTTCCCTCGTTGCAGAGCACAGGCTCTAGGCACACGGGCTTCAGTAGTTGCAGCTCATAGGATTTTGTTGCCCGTGGCATGTGGAAGCTTCCTGGAGCAGGAAGATCAAACCCAAGTCCCCGGCATCGGCAGGTGGGTTCTTTATCCACTGTAGCACCAGGGAAGTCTAACCTCCTTTCATTTCTTAAAATTTATTTTTTAATTTATTTTTCGGCCTCGAGGTATAGGAGATCTTAATTGCCCAACCAGGGATTGAACCCCTGCAGTGGAAGCACAGAGCCCTAACCACTGGACCCCGGGGGATTCCCTCACCGTTTTATTGATTGATTTCTTTTTTAGCTGCGCTGGGTCTTTGTTGCTGTGTGAAGGCTTTCTCTAGTTGCGGCAAGTGGGAGCTACTCTGTTCCCCTACACGGGCTGCTCGTTGCAGTGCTTCTCTGCTGCGGAGCGCAGGCTCTAGACGCACAGGCTACAGTAGCTTGGCCAAATGGACATTTCAGGCTTGAGGGCTCCAAACTGTGGGCTTGGTAGTTGTGGCTCTCAGGCACAGCTGCTCTGAGGCATGTGGAATCTTCCCAGACCAGGGATCAAACCTGTGTCCCCTGCATTGGCAGGTGGATTCCTATCCACTGTACCACCAGAGAAGTCCCCTTATGCTTTTAAAGTGAAAAATTCAGTGGCATACACAATGTTATGGAACCATTATTACTATCTATCTCCAGAGCATTCCCATCACCCCCAAAAGAAAACCCTATCCGCATGACCAGTTACCCTCATTCCCCTTCCCCCAGCCCCAGGCCACCACTGATCTGCTTTCTGTCTCTGTGGATTTGCCTGGACATTTCCTATAAATGGGATCATATAATATGTGACCTTTGTGTCTGTTCTTTTGTTAAAGAAAGTCAGCTTGGTGTTCTTGAGGTTCATCCATGTTGTAGTGCATATCAGAACTTCAGTCCTGTTTTTTTTTTTTTTTAACCTGTACTGCAAGGTTTGCGAGATCTTAATTCCCAGACCCAGGATTGAATCCAGGCCAGCAGTGAGAGCTTGGAGTCCTAACCAACTGCCAGGGAATTCCCCACTTCATTTTTTTTATGGCTGAATAATATTCCATTGTATGGATGGGCTGCATTTTGTTTATCCATTCATCTACTGATGGACACTTGGGTTATTTCCACCTTTTGATGATTGTGACTAGTGCTGCTATGAACATTGTGTACAAGGGTTGGTGTGAATACCTGTTTTCAATTCCCTTGGTAAATGCCTAGGAGTAGAATTATTTGATCACATTGTAATTCTGTGTTTAAATGATTAAGAAACTGCCAGATTGGTTTCCAAAGTGCCTGCACATTTTTCACTCCCATCAGAAGTGTGTGAGGGCTCCTTATTTCCCTACATTCTCATCAACACCTATTATTTCCAAGTTTTTTTTTTTTTTTTTTTTTTTTAGTCTGGTCATCCTAGTGAGTGTGAAGTGGTATCTCAGGGGG